TAACTTGATAAACTTCCTTAGCTTACGTTCGGAAAGCATAAATCGTTAGGTTACTATGGAAGTTAAAAAAATTATTATAATCATTGGCGTCCCATGAAAATTGAACTCAATTTGTTTTATTTTTTTCTTGAAATTGAGGCAGCAATTTCAAAAACGAAATCTGCCAATTTTCCTCATTTACAGTAAGCTTTAATGGATTTTTTTTTCCGCCCCTATTTCAAAGTCAGGGTGTATACGGGAGTTTCGGGAGTCCCAAAAAAATAATAAAAAAAATCCTCTGGATCTGTTGGATAATAAACATTAATATTATTATATTATAATATAGAGTAGAGTTCCTTTGGAACTATATAACTCAATAGAATATCAATGTGTCTTGTATTACCATTGAAAGAACTTATCAATGCGATTCTTAAACAAATTAACATTTTCCACATCTATTACTTCCGTAGGTAACCTATTCCAAGTTTTTATTACACGAACCGGAAAAAGTTTTTCATAATGTCGGCTTTAAATTTTGGTACGGACAGTGACAAACTATGCCCTCTTAATCTTTGGGATCCTCTAATCTGAAAAATTTGGTGACCTTCCTTTCCAAGTTTCAAAATTTTAAATGTATGTATCAAGTCCCCTCTTAGTCTACGATCTGAAAGTGTTATCAATTTCATACGTTTTAGGCATGTGTTATAATTGGGTCTTCGAGCGCTAAAGCACCATCTAGTAAACTTACGTTGTACTTTTTCATAAGTTTCAACATCCTGAATTCTATTTGGGTACCAAACAACCTTCGCAAATTCTAAGATTGGGCGAACGTATGTTTTAAATATCTTTGCCATTAAAGAAATATTCTTTTTTGAAAACGTTTTATATAAAGTGTACATTCTTAAATTAACTTTTTTCACTTGTTTTATTATGTGATTTGTCCGTGTTAGATTTCTGTGAACTTGAACTCCTAAATCTGTGACTCTCGATAGACATTCACCTTGTATTTGATACTTTGCGTTCGATTTATCCTTACCAATGCGAAGGACTTTACATTTAGATTTATTGAGTGGAATACCCCATTGTTGTCCCCATTCAAAGATAACGTTAATATCATTTTGTAAAACAGATGCATTAGAAATATGATTGTACACTTTGATATCATCGGCATACATTGCACAGGAGGAAGTTATTGACTTAGGTATATCGGCTGTGTAGAGAAGGCCCTAAGACAGACCCTTGTGGTACTCCACTTAATACATCGAATATATCACTGAAACCATTTCCAACTCTAACAAAAAATTTTCTGTTAGTAAGGAAGCATTCTATCCATCTTAATAATTTTCCACTAATACCATAAGAATTTAGTTTCATTAGCACTTTATCGAATTCTTTTGAAAAATGTAAGTAGACAACATCAACAGTTTCAGAGTTATCTAAAGCTTTTGACCAATCGTTAATGCAAGTTAACAGATTTTGCTCAACAGGTCTACCTTTAATAAACCCAAATTGTTGCCTAGGAAGTAATTCATATTTTTGCAGATAAAGGTCTAGCTGATCGACTATTATGCTTTCCATAATTTTAACTACTGGAGATGTCAGGCTAGGTCTATAGTTTTTAACATCAAACCTATTACCACTTTTATAAATGGGCCGTATAAGAGCGATTTTCCAGTCGTTTGGTAGTATTGACAATTTATATGACTGATCCATTATAAGTGTAAAGGTATTGCAAGTAATTGACTGCAGTGTTTAAATACAGCTGGGGATATCATGTCTGGTCCAGGACAAGATGTTGGTTTAATCAACTCTAACTTTTTAGAGATCATATTAATCTCAAATGTGATATCAGAAAGGGTTCCATCTGTATGACTTTTAATAGGTGACGGTAGTTTATGACTGATATTATTATATGATTCTGAGAAAAATTCTGCCAACAAATTTGCAGTTTCATTATCACTCATGGTTTTAGAGTTATCTGGACGATTTAACCTCTATTCCTTTCTTACCGACGATAATGCGCGTTTTATATATTTGAATACTACCTTAGGATTCTCGCTTCTTACAATACTTTCTTCATAGTTATTTCTAGCTTTCTTGATTTCTTTGATTAGTGTGTTCGAAAAAATCCTGTGTGATATGTAATCTTCTGCTCATTTAGTCCTTCTGTATTTTTGCCACATTGCTTTCTTCCGTTTTATTAAATTAAATATGTTACTATTAATCCAAGGTTTTGACGGGTTTGATATGTACGTTTTATAATTCGAACACTCCATCTGTAGACTGAGTAAAGTTGCACAAAATATTTGCCAGTTTTCTTTAACTGCATTTGAGATAAGCTTGGTTTTCCAATCAATTTCAGCTAATAGTTTATTGATTTTATTGAAGTCGAGAAATGTTTTCCTGACTATCGTTCTCTTTGGGATAACATTTATACCACTCTGAACATTGAATGTAAGTAATGCATGATCCGATTTATTTATTTATTTATTTATTTATGATGTAGATTACGAAGAAAACGTAATTTTATAAAAGTAAAATTGGCAATACAGCACACACTTAATGCGTGAATACCTTCGGCTTACTTTCTGATTTCTTAGTAGGTAACGATGGTGACTGAAAATCCACCTTCGCTTTATATCAGGCAAACATTGTTGTCAAATGGAATTTTATCAAATTGTTACAAAAATAACACAGCCATATCTTTGTGCATTCTAACTGAAATGCTAATTAAATAGTCATTGTGATAATGAATGCGTTGTTTAGTTGTTAAACGTAGCAAAAGAACCAATTTTAAAATCATTATAACTCCACCAAAATGTGAGAAGGATTTTTTTTACTATTTTTCCCAGACCCACCAATTGATTGTTAAGAGCGTAGCGGAGAATTAATCCGCCATTTTCCAGACACCCGGTATAACGGTAATCCTGACAAAAAAAACTTTTATTAACAAATTTTCGGTGCAACATTAATATTCCATAAAGTTGCAAACAAAAAAATATGAAAAATAAGGGATGAAAACTTTTTGACATTTCAATCTTTCATTTTGAGGGGTCATCTTGCGTCACATTTGTTTTTGCAGTGGTAAAAAATTGATTAAGATGATTGCAATAAAGTTTTAATTTTTCATATTTTTCTGTCTATAACATTGTTTTTATAAATGTTACGCTAGAAAGGTACGAATAAAAATAGATTTTTTTTCGTTAAACTCACGGTTACGGAGATGAATAAAAAAACCAATTGCACTCCTCATGTTTTCAGGGTGGTTGCCGAATGACAGCACCCCCAGTCCCGAAAACTTTACTGAACATTATCACTCTACAACATCCATAAAAAATTCGCTGCCTACTTAAAATGCACAGTTACTCCTTTTTTAACGTCGAATTTACTAAATTAATGTCTGATGAACTCTCTCATTACACGATTTTTTTAACTACAACTGTAAAGTTTATAATTGTGTAGGAATGTATGTTTGCATGTAGTATTACTACGAAAATTACCACGAATAGATATCACTAATGGTCATGTTTCAAACCTCTATGCAATTTCTTGCGCACTTTACCATCAAAATATAGAATATACATCTTATCCGTTCAAAAAGTAAAAGATCACTCAACCGGCAACATAGTACGAAAACCACAGACCACACTTGTTTGGTCTGTGACGAAAACTCAACCGACAACATTGTGTAGGGACATTTTTTCTGCCAGATGGGCTGTCAGAAAAACTGAGGATAGGATGATCATGGTTTTCATTAAAAACACGTTGTTTTAATATGTTTTATTTTGACATTTTTGTCATGAAATTTCACATTTGAAATTTTTTGTATTACCAACTTGCCAGTTTGAAAATAAGCCCTAGAGGAGTTTTATTTGGTACCAACTTAATTCAACAGGTGGTGGTTGTTTAATTTTTGAAAACACAGTATGTTTCTTGCAAAATTTCTAGTATAAATTATGATGCTCTTAAACTTTTTTTGTGGAGGGCGAAGTGAACCCAGCCTTCGTGCTGGATTATTATAATTGCATAGTAACGTTTGTTTTACCGATTTCACTTTTGTTGAAGAATGATCTAAATTTACGTCCAGGCACTAATAATAATAGCTATAAAGTAAAATTGAAAGTGTTCTGCAAAACGTAAATAACGTAAATAACGTTTTGCAGAACACTACGCTACATCAGACAAAGTGGTTAAAACGTAAGACAGTACCTTACAATTATTAATTTATACTTATCCATATTTCAGAAATCCGTCATTCAATATACACTGACCGGCAAAAAAAAACGGCCACCCTGAAAATATACATAGCGCTTACTACGACCATCCTCGATCAGAGCGACAATTTGAGAGACGTCTGTAAGAGTTAACGGCATTGTTTTCACGTGAAAACGTTTATTAACTCCCAAACTCATAATCAAATGATGAAAAACACTGTTTACAATAACAGCCCCCTTTATTGCTGTTAAGAAAATATCGTACTTGGTCTGTTTCTGTTATTTTGTTAAATTAAATTTAATTCTGCGGTTACATGCCTTCTTTTTTTGCTAATTTGTACAACATGTGTCAATAGTGAATGGTTCTTTAATAAAATAATGATCACTAGTTAAATTAATAATTGTTAAAAGTGGTTTTGCGAAATTTTTCAGGGTGGCCGTTTTTTGCCGGTCAGTGTATTTCCAAATTATCTACGAAAATAGAATGAGTGTTAAATGAATAAAATTAAATTCTATCTGTAAAAAGAAAAGAAATGCTGCGACTTATGTGAGTAAGGGCCGTTTAACAAGTCACAGAATTAATCCGAAAATTACTGTCAATATTTATGTCATAAATTTTGCAAGAAAAATATTCTATAATTTGATGGTAAAGTGCGCAAGAAATTTCGCAGACATTTAAAACATGACCATGTGTTTACGTTTTGAACGGCTACACAATTTATTGCTCACTTTACCTTCCAAATAAGCAATATTTGTCTTGCAAAACTTAATATAAATTTTGATGGTAATTTTCGTTGTAAATTTCAGAATAATTCTGTGACGAGTAAAACCCCTCCAAGTCGTTCCTGGGAGTCATATCATTGTTTTTCCTTGCAAGGAAGGCTGCCGCACGATACTTGCAATTATCCAAAGTAGTCGGAGAACGTGGCCAGCCGAAGGTCAGATGTAGTATGATACGAATTCCCATGACTAGTTCTTGTGCCATTGTCACGGAGAAAGTCCGTCCTGAAAAACGGGAACAGCTTGGTTGGAAGGTTCTGCAGCCTTCACCCTATAGGAAGCGAGAGGCCAGTCTGCTCTTGTAGACACGACTTTATGTGGTGATTCACGTCAACTAACGCATAAAGTATGCGGCGCCTCTCTGTTCCAGTATGTTAACTGAACCAACTCAAGAGGCACAGGTCGCTAGAATTTATTACATCTCAAAGGAATTAGTACACGTCGAACTTGGAGATGCATTTTACCAAAAACTAACATCACTCAAGGATGAAAACGTCGTACGCGACAAAAGCATATTTGGTCAAGTGAAAATTATATAGCGTGGGGTGTGCAAGCAGGCACACACCTTAGAGCCGAACGACGAGGGCTCGGTCTCCCATGCAATCACTATGCTCTCTGAGTTACAGTATTTTAGGGAATTACTTTTATAAAAATAAATTGTAAAGTCAAAGCAATTTCAATGCAGAATTTTATTTACTTGTATATTGATTTAGTGGATGGTTCATTTACTTCACTATTTATATTACTAGGGTCCTAGAGGAGAAATATGTGGAGGTTTCAGCGATGCTGCATGGGGTCGACCTCCCGGCAAAAGTCACTACGTGGCTTCTGAACGAGCTTTCCTTTTTACGCTTTGTAATCATCACGACTTACCACCAACACAGTTCCATTTGGTCAAGAAACCTTTTGCGATTTGTTATCATCCTGAGTAAGTAAACTAGAAAAGTGTCGATATTTTAATAACATTAATATTATTCAGTTCAGGGCCAATATTTGGAGCGGGTGCAGATCTATTAATATCAAATAATTGTAATAATAATATGGATAGTTATTCCAATATGCCTCATAGTTATGATGGGGATGGAGCATCACCGGCCGTTTTAATGGGCGACTATAATTTTACCGTAACCGATTATGAAGTTTTTACTCCATTTTCTTGTTCAGGAAAACATCACAAGACTGACAAGTATCAGTAAATTTCTGTACAAAACCAAATAAAACTTGACGATACAAATGCTATAGTTTTCGGTCTATACAAGAATCACAATTAAAGTCTAATCCATTTTTTTTTATTTTATAGACATATTGTAAACACCGCACTAGAACAACAAAAGCCACACAATTGATTTATTTTTAGTTCTCTTTTTGTAATACTTCATAAATGATTGCACGTATAAAATGTTTGTAAATAAATGTACTGTATTATTTTAATTATGTTTTATTTGATCGAACAAACCCCCGTGACATATGAGAGGGGTACCATATATTGTACCTCAACCATTGTTATCCATATATCCATAAATTGCCACCTACCATCTTGTATGCATAATATTGACCATATGTTGTTTATTATTATTATTATTGCGGAAGTTGGTCAACGGGAGTAAAACCTACTTACAAACCAACGCACAAATAGGAAAATGAATATATTCAAAAGCACGAAAACAGTTAACTCATTTCAGTAGATAAAATTACTACCTTACCCAACAACAAGAGTTCACACTTTTTAGAATTCAGACAAAAATTAAATACTTTAAAAAACACACGTAGAGTTAAAATGTTATGTGCATTTTGTAACTAGGCGAATGGTTCTCAATATCTAGGAGTCGGTAGATAAAAACAAAAACAACAAGTTATGTTCATTGATTTAATGAACTTGTTTTTAAAAAGAACTTTTATTTTATTCACAGTTCTTGTTATTACACTTGATTATTTATTATTGGATTATTAAATATTGATTATTCACAATTATCACTTATTTCTACTTCACAATTATTCACTTAAATAAATTACAACTTATTGGGAGAGCTCGATTATGACGGGTTTAAATGAATTTCACGGCGGCGACTTGTGGACTAAATTACACGTGTGAGGGATGCTTCTGAATTGAAAAATGAATTATTCCGATGTCTTTTATAATAAGGAAAATTGCAGAATTGGAGTTCTCATGTTGATATTAATGCAAGTGTGGAAGCGCATCTTGCACGTGGGACGATATGGGTCTGCAGACTGATTGTCCATTGTGGACTTATGCTGATACTTATCATAACACGTTCCTCGTTAGATTGAAAATTGGAGGAGCCTGCGATGTCGAATTTTCAAAAGTCTTCCAGTGGTGGACGTGACAACCATCGGGAACGATATCTATGAATTCGGGGCCCGATACACTTGTGCCAAATGAAAAAGATTATACTGTAACAATTAAAAAGATATATGTAGATTAAAACTGTCGAAACATTAATGGAATAGTTTGGATCGACTGTTTCTTAAATTCAGGATTCTGGTGGCTCTGAAGGGTCGTTGAGTAGATTCTTGGTTTACATCCATCTGGGGCAGTGATAACGTAACTTCCTTTTACTGAAAGGTGTTCTTTCTCTTGTCCGCATGTTGAAATGGCTGGTTGGTCAATTGGGAATATTCCAATCCATTGGTTGTTGTCGATTTTTCTGATTTTCATGTTTTTGAGGTTGACTTTGATGATATTACACTGCTGGTAATTCTTTGAAAATTTGAGTATGTAGTTGAATTTCACAAGGTGCTTCTTTGGGAATTTTACTGGTCTGTGGTAAAATGCAGATATAGTCTGCAGGGGTGACTGCATTACATTTATTGTCGTTCAAACTGAAGTAAAGCTCGTTAAGGTAGAAGTATTTGTGGGGCGGTATAATTATTTGGTGAGTTTTGGAATCATGCTGAATGGGAAATGGGTATAATTGGTAAATATTGTAATTATGAGGTTCGGTAAGAGGTATCTCAAAAATGAAAGTGATATGCAGATCTTTCTGAGAAGCCTTAATTAGGATTATTCTTTCGTAGGTTAGGAGGTTTACATCGTTGGCTTCGTAGGTGGGGCTTTTTTCGTCGAGTTGATTCTCTAGTATTTTTAGTTCGCTTAGCAAGGTCCTTTGGGTCGATTATTGAATTGTGCAGTGTGTTCAATTTTGCCAAGCTAATTGCTGTTTCAAGTTTTTCCAATATTCTCAATATTTCTTGCGATATGGAAAAACTGTGTGCAGATGTGAAGTGGGTAACTTTCGATTTTCGTGGAAATAGTTCGATTGATTTATTACGAGTAATTCGATTTTGGTGATCTTTTTGAATATTTGTTGATTGATCGTTAATCTGGCGATGCCCTTGTTGAATTTTTCGATTGCCGTGGTACCTACTTAGGGAGATTTGTTCATTAAGGAGAATTTTCTGTTTATCTTGCTGGGTTTGAATTTAGGATATTAAGGTTTCATAGCGTTGCCCGTCTTCGCTATCTAAATTTCCAGTGATTGCTTTTACAGGTAGGTAGCACAATAATTGACTAGTTCTCTCCTCGATCTTCAGTAATTTTTTGATAGATTAATTTAATTCGATTTTTGTGATCAATGTTGTACTGTTGGAAATATCGGGTGTCGTGGTAAATATCAGAAGGGTTTCGTGACGTTGTGTGTACTAATAATAATTGGAGTGGAGTATAATTGGTAACTGAATGAATGGAGTTATTGTATCCGATAATTGCGTAAGCCATGGTGGTAATTGGTGGGTCTTTGAAGTATTGTCTCAGAATTCGATAATGTTCTGTGAGAATTGAATGTAGTCTTTCAATTAAACCATTTGATTGCGGGTGTCTTGGTGTTGTAAAATGAGATTTGATTTTGTGGGTTTCCAAAAGTTTATTCACGTTGTCGTTTTGAAATTCTAGTCCTGAGTCAAAAGTGATTTTTTCTGGTATTCCATCGTGTTGGAAAAAGATTAATAGTTTATCACAAATTTTGATGGCGTTTTTGTTTGAAACTTGATATGCTTGGGCTAATTTCGTAAATACGTCAATAACTGTTAGGAATGTGGTTTCCTTGATTCTAAATATTGAATGTATGAAGAATCGTAGAATAAACAACTTTAAACAAATAGAGATTTCCTATAAAAGTTAATATACAACATTGGCGACGAGGAAAATCGGAGAAAATAGAAAAAACGCGGCAGAAGACGGGTAAATCCAAAAACAATCATTGTGTTACACGTGGTGACGCAACAAGAAGATGACGCTGATCGGTTCTATCGATAGTTTTGATCCAAAAGTGGACAATTGGACATTGTACCAAGAGCAGCTGGAGGAATTTTTTAACGTAAATGGAATAGTAGACACCCCAGCAACAGAGGGTCAAACAGAGTCAAAGAAAAGAGTGCCAGCTTTATTGAGCCTGATAGGAAAAGAAACCTACAAAACTCTACGAGATCTCTGCACACCGGCGTTACCAAAGGATAAAACCTATGAAGAATTGTGTACTCTACTAAAGAAACAATTTTCACCCAGTACATGTATTTTCAGGGAAAGAATTGAGTTCTACGAAGCACAACAACAAGACAATGAAACGGTAAAAGAATGGTACGCTAGAATACACAACCTAGCGGGAAACTGCGAGTTTGGAAACGAGCTCACGTTTGTGCTAAAGGACAAATTCATCTGTGCTATGAAAAGGAGTGTCATCCGAGACAGATTGTGTGAAGAGTCCCCAACCACAACATTACAGAAACTAGTGGAAATTGCACAAGCAAGAGAAGCAGCTCTACAAAGCCAGAGTGACTCCGTCAACACAATAAGAAGGGTGCCACAGACCAAAAAGGATACACAACAGGAAGGGAAATCTCAAACAAACAATAATGAGGCAAGAACATCTAAGAACACATTCCAGCCATTCCAGAGAGGGAAGTGGAACTGCAGACGATGTGCAGGAACCCATACTGGCCAACAGGTGTGTAAATACAGAAATTACACATGCAACATTTGTAAAAAGGTGGGACATTTAACAAAGGCATGTTTCAATAAAAATAAACAAAATTTGGTAGAAACAGGCGTAAATAGCATTAGTTTTGTTAATAACAGCCCAGTTTATTGTAACGTCAATATTAGTGATAAGGAAATACAAATGTTAGTAGATAGTGGCGCATGTACATCAATAATTTCAGAAAAAGATTTTAAATCTTATTGGCCAAGCGCTAAGTTAAAATATAATAATAGGCAGTTAAAAACATATTCAGGGCAGCCAATAAAAATTTTGGGTACTTTCAACGCATGTATACAGTACAAAAATGTAAAATGTGAAAATTTCGTTTTTTTCGTTATCGACAAAAGAGACGGTAAACAAAGTATGCTAGGGAGAGATTTTTTAAACAAATTTAAATTCGAATTAGTTTCAGAATTTGACGAAAAAAATGAAGTCTTATCGGTTAGCGAAACTAATATTGTTAACGAATTCCAGGAGGTTTTTTCAGACGGATTAGGTTGTTTCAAACAACACACATTCACATTAAAATTGAAAGACCAATTCCGACCTGTTTTCCTTAAACCCCGCACCGTTCCTCTTGCATACAAAGAAAAAGTCGAAACAGAATTGAATCGTTTGGAAAAAGAAGGTGTTATTGAGCCGATTGAATCCAGTGAATGGGCCACGCCATTGGTACCAGTGATGAAAAAGGATGGAACCCTTAGATTGTGTGGCGATTACCGAATCACAGCAAATAAATGGTT